CAGTTCTGTGCTCCGCTGATGTCTACGCTCTAGGCAGTCACCTAGTTTGGCCTAATGGTTGCACAGGCCCTGGCTAGAGGAGACATTTGGAGTGTGTGGGGAAACAAATTTCCAAATTGTTTCCTCCTCCTCAGATGTGTGATTTTTCATGGGTTCTTAGCCTGACAAAGTCTAAACATCTAAAAAGGAATGGCTGATAAAAGAGTTTTCAAAAAGCTAGACCGGGCTTGACTGAGGAAGTGGACCATAAAGAAATGGACAGGGAAATGACAGGGCAAAGAGAGGTGGGTGACTCTTCTAAGAACATGGAGCAATTCACAAGCAGAGAAGAAAAGAGAGCATGTAGATGAGCTTTGATTAATATTTACAGTATTTGCATATTGCTACATAGTTCTGATTTCATAGCAGTGTGCAACATACTAAGAATTTAAAACATAAAAGCATCATAAAAGACAAAACAAAGGTAGCGGTGTGTGCACATGCACAAACACACAAAACAGCAATAAAATTGCCTACATCTCATCAGTGCACGCTACTCAACAGTAAAAAGCCAAGCAAAGGTAACTGGCAATTATCAGGGACAAGCATGGTGGAAGTGTCCCCCAACATTGGGGCAGCTATTCATAAAGGTCCATGCTGTTGGTGGATAAGAACCTGGCCTCTACTCAAAAGCGGGATTTTATCAGCAGATCTTCAAGAGCAGAGTTCATTTAGTAACAGGTTCTCCTTCAGGTATGTCCAATTTTATTTTAAAAGTTTATCTGCTTTATGCCGGCAAGAAAACGACCAGATAACAGGAGGATGCATGTATGAGCCACCATACTGAATGTTGCCCAGTATTCACATACACCAACCCACCAAGCACTCCCTAGTTTTGCTGCCTGTATGCGTGTGTGTATTTGTAAGAAAATTTTAAAGATTCACTGACCAACTCTCCTCCTTCCAAGATTCTGTAAGCTCTCCTAGGTTTAAGCAAGACAATTTCTCATATCACTAATTCTCAACCGCTCTCAACAGCCTGTGCCTCCTAGGAGCAGCCATCTTCATACATTTTATTGATTGGTGTTCTTTTTTAGAGACTAATTTACAAAGTTGTATTTTCTGCATACCTTGGAACGATGCTCCAAGCTGTGGAGTCTTGTGGGCAAAAATTCTACTTTGTGAGCTACTGGCATTAAAGTTATGAGCAAGCAATTTGGCTACTGCATAAATTAGTTTGCTCTGAAGCCATCCTTCCTGAGCTAAGACACACTAACTCAGCTTAGGGGGAACACTGCCTTGGAAATCCCTTTAGTATGTAGAAACCCTTACCTTCTCAGTGGGTGGTGTGGCTTAGCTGCTTTCATTATTGGAGTCGGCTACCCATGTACTATCAGAGACACAGATGACAGTAAAAGCCCTGGATTTGATGAGGTGCCTTGAAATGTCCCCATCATCTCCAACTGTTCACACAGAATACTGCCCAGTATCACAGCAGACCTCTGATCCATCTAAACCAGCCTCATCTCTTGACTAGGAGAAGCTCTCCAAAGTCTCAGGGTCTTTTCAAACGACTCATATGTGTGATCATTTGCCTGGAGATGCTTAGGGTCTGGGCCCAGGGCATGATCATGCAAAATGTATGGCCTGTCACTGAACTACAGCCTTTCCCTTAAAGCATACAGTTTTTAGATTAACTCTGCTTGAACTTCATTTATGATGTCTTCAACAGGTTGCTCACTAGCTGCTGCAAGTAGCTGGTATGTCCCCTAGAACAGTGGCTGTCAACTTTTTCTATCTCACTTCCCACCAATCACTCTATCAAAGAACCTTGGCCCCACCATGCTAGAAATTTCAAAAGCTCAGTTTTTCCAAGAAGCTCGTGTATATGTTTATTTTTGCCATCAAGCCAGCCAATTAACGTCAACTCCATAAGGTTTTTGAGGCAACACACATTCAGAGGTGGTTTGCCATTGCCTGCTTCTACATAGTGACCCTGGACTTCCTTGGTGGTCTCCCATCCAAGTATTAAACAGGGCTAACCTTGTTTAGTTTCCAAGATCTGATGAGATTGGGCTAGTCTGGGTAATCCAGGTCAGGGCATCTTTATATGTTTATGGGCATTCTTATATTTATAATTTACAGTAAGTAATTGCAGAAGCACAACAGATAATCCCTGGCAGGGAGGGTCAAGCATCACATCAAAGACATTTGATGGTAGGCAGGGGAATGAGGGATTAGGAGAAAACACCGGGTGCCCAAGGTTATTCCTAGCACACCAGACACACAGAGATGGATAATCTGGGGCAGGTAGGGTTGACAGGGTACAGCGTGTCACACTTGCAGGTGGGCAAGTGTGGGACTGAGAATGAATTCTTGATAATTGGTATGAAAACCCTGCATTGGACTTAGACTACTTCTGCATCCCACTGTTGGTACATATACACTTGTTAAGAACCACTGCCCTAGAAAACCCAAAAAAAGATCTACTCTGGGTTTTCCTTCCAGGGATTTTTCTCTGTACAATTTATAGCTTAAATTCTGGTGTTCTTCATAGTCTATGTTCCATTCCTAGGGCAGAACAAGATTTGCTAACATGCTGGGGTAGGGGGAAAGTAGGTCGGGATGTTTTTTGTTACTCAGAAGTAGCTCTCATCTTTTGCAAAAAGGTTGCCAGCCTTTTCTGTATATATATATATATATAACAGCATTTATTGGAAGAGACTGAAGGCATTAAAGCTTGCTTACCTTAATGTACTGCCTTTTGTTCTACCGTCCCAGAGAATCTTTCCAGCCCTATGCAGCTCATACTGCAGCCTTCCAGGTCTTTTGTGCCCCACCGATACCCAGTTCTGCAATGATCCCAATGTGAAGCAAGGGCTGAGAATGAGCACACCACTGCTTTCTGTCCCTCCAGCTGTGATCGTACTAGGCGTAGCCTATAGCCCTGCTGCCAGGAATGTGTGAAATGCACTCTGACAAGTCAACCAGGTTTGGAGGTTTCAGGAATGAGGAAATTTAAAAAAAAAGATGACAGCTTTTGGCAACTGTGAACATACAAGTGAAGCAAGTACTATCTATATTTAAAACCAGCTTCCAGTTTCATCAGGTGCACTGGAACAGGGCCAAAAATGCCACCTTCCTCTGCAGAATTATGTTGTGCAGACTTTATATAAAGGTAACCATTTCTAAGCCTAGAAGCCAATATAAAATCTTCATACAGCTGACCATCAGAGGGCTGCATGTTCTTTTTCCTGGAGTGCCTGGCTCGTCTCAGCTGCACCATCATCATCCAGTTCTTTTCTATCCAAACTTGCAGTTCCTGGGGACTGTATAGCTTGAGTCCTTGCTGCCACACACAAATCTCTTAACACATCACAAGGTCTGGTCCAACTTCTGCCTTTCCCCCAGAAGCCCTTACCTTCTCCAACAGCCCCTTGTAAAGGAGGGGAACCCTCACAGTCCCTCGGATGTTGCTCTCAATGGAATAAGCACCCTGGATGTCCAACAAATGATTAAGACTACAGTCATGGCTGGAAGTCGTTTAGCTTAGGCTGTGTCCCTGGTTCTGGGAGATGACCACACCAGGAAAAGGTAGAGCCACTGTAACCCAAAAATAATATCACAATCCCAGGATAGTTGTGGTAGTTGTGTTTGAGCTCTACTGATACCCTGTACCTCACAAACTTCAATATCAACTCCCCACCCTCCACCCTGAGCCTATTGCTACCTCTCTGCAAACAGTATGGGTTCAGCAAAGAGAAGCTACAAGCGACCTGTTGATGGAGGGAGCTTTGACTCTTGAAAGCTGATACCCTGAAACTCATTGATCTCTAAGGTGGGCGGCTACTGGACTCAAATAAGCTTTACAAGCCACTAGAAATTGGTGGATAAACCATTTACAAGGGGTATTTCAACTGAAATTAAACATTTATATCCATATATGAAAATTAAAATGAAATTATCCAAAAACACAAGATCAAAGATTAAAAGTATTTATTAGAGTGCTTGTTAATTCTATCTCAGCTCAAATATCTTCCTTAACAATCTTCTTCTGTGGGTCTATAAAGAGCTCAGTTTATTTTTGTTAGTCCTGTTTCTTTGTGTCCTCCCTGCATCCACCATGAAGACTTTTGATCAGTTGTGCCTTGTGAGTACAGCCTTCAGAAGGCAATTCCCATCTGGATGGAGACCACAGCTCATAAGAAAAGGCCTTTCCACCTACACTGTTGCCTCAGCATGGAATGGTTTGGGGACCCTCCTCCCTAGCCGAAACAGAGACTCCCTGGAGATACTTCAGGTCAGGAAAAAAAGAAATAGGGAAAGGCCTAAAACTCTTCTCCTAGCACACCGCAATCCCAATCTGTACTGAGCCTTTGAGCACAGAATTTGCAAAACACATCTGATCAAGAGCTCCCCCCAGGGGAGATGCGAGGATAATGTAATGTACAGTTGGGCCCCCCAAGACAAAGCCTATTGGAGATGATAATTTTGCTTTTCTCACATTAATTCCACAAGAAATTCTGAAAGAACTTGATTATAACATCTAAAGAAGTTATGTTTTGTTTTAATATCCAGTAAGTTGGACTAATTTTGACTAAAGGGAAAAACAAAAAGAATTTTAGTACTGTTACTAACACATTTAAGAAATGATGAATAAGTTATTTCTGGTAACAATGAAATTATCATGCAAAATTATTCCCAAATGAATTATCAAAAGCCGTGTAACTTTCCAGATTAAAACTAGAAAAATTCTCAAGAAACAGAAATTTAAAATGAGTCTGGATATTTTTTTTTACTTCTGACTTGGAAATGCTGAACACTTCCAGTAGAAACAAACATATAACTTGTTTCCCACAGCAGTTCTCTCAAAATCACAAGTGTAAAGTAGGAGAGACATTTAATTCAAAATGGAAATCACTACACTTTTGATAGTTTTTTTAATCTAACCTAGTAGGCCAAAGCTGAAGTATTTTATTAAAATAATTTGTTATATACAAAGGACATCAAAAAATGCAACTAAGGACATCAAAAAATGCAACTAATGATCTGAAGAGGGTTTTTTCCGCCCAGAATGGGACAACTGCTTAAGTTCCAGAAATATTTTATTTAAAATGAACTGTCACACTAGTAAAGTTAATAAAATCTAGCACAGCTAAACCTGCACAAAAATATTTCAGTTTGAATTCTTATCTGCTGTCATCTCATCTACAATGTCCAAGGATGCAAAATAGTCTGAGAAAATCCTGTAAAGTCTTTTACATTCAATATTAATCACATTTTCTGCTATTCCTTCAGTGGAGACGTGTGTGCAATTTGGTCATCTGGGTGAACACAAAATATTATGAAATCATACCCAATATTATATTCACCAGTTATACTCAAATTCCCAGTTTTCATGTACGTAGTCACAGATTCCCATAGCCCAGCAGTTCAAAGTGATGAGAATTATTTTCAAACATCTATTAACGTAATTATGAATTTCAAATACAAACAGATAAAGTAAATGCTTTTACATTTATTGTAAAAAATATGAAAGTGGCCTGTTTCACACCCAAGCTGCACACCTTGGATCTTCCTGTGGTTAGATACTATTAAAGAAAAGAGGCAGAGAATGTGCTTTCCTATTCGAGACATCCCGTTAAGGGCTTTGGACAATAGTTTCAGACATAACATTTTGAAATTCTTGGACAGCTTAAACTTGCTTCGACTGAATGGCTAATATCTAGAAATCAGCACATTTCCCTATATTTAGGAATCTGTGCGACCATGTTGGGAATCAGCCTCAGTTTTAAGTTTCCTGTAGTCAAGCCACATCTAAAAAGAACAGGCCTTGTACACCACCACCCTTGACAAGTGTCAGAAAACTGGGTACATTTGAACACAATAATACAAAAAAAAACCAAAAACCCACACACACTTCCACAACACATAAAGCTCTCTGTGCACTTCCAATGTGAATTCATCAAAGATTTTTTTTTAAAAAAAGATTAATCTTATGCACATGTATTTCCATTTGTCATTGTAGTCTCCCTCAGACTGAGCTGACAACAGGGCAAATTAACAGGACTTGAACAACAATAATTTTATATATCGATCAACACGCCTCCAATCGCAAGGATCTTTCATTGCAATATCATTTTCTTCTTTCCCTCCCCTTCAGTGTTGACAATGCATCCTCAGTGACCCTGTTATTTCTTAAGTGACTGTTATAAGGAAAACCAGCGGATATAAGCATGTACTGGTCAACCCAAGGATTGGTAAAGGATTCATACCATTCAGGAAGATTATCGAGTTTGGAGGGAAAGGGTGGGGTGTGGAATTAAAGCAAGCACTGAAAAGCATTCATACCTCTGTATTCCTAAAGGTCTGGGTGTAATTAATGGGAACTGCAAGTCTGTACTTACTCACAATGATGTACTTTGAACACTGACAAGCAAAGATACAACATAAGGTGGCTAGTCAGTTCAGCAGCACTTGTGGCAACTTAGAATGCACACAGCTTGAATGGCAGCCAAACTGATTTTTTTTAAGATTGTCATTAAATACTGCTTTTAATGAAATACCTCAAAAGCACACATCGATGACATCCTAATAAAGTAATATATGTACTGATTTGAATGCTGCCTGCAATTGCTCTGAAGCATAGGATAAGAGAGGTCTAAAGATTACCCTAAAGACATGCTTTTCCAAATAAGTCCATAGCATTATGTCTCTGCTTCCTCATCACTGCCGGCAACACTGCTGTCTGTGGATGCTGTGACATCTTCATTAGTGTCTTCTCCATTATCTTCCCTCTCAGTTGCTTTATCCTTCAGATCTCCCTCTGATGCACTGTTAGATTGCTGAACTCCTTCAGGCAATTTGACACCAGTTTCTGAAGTATCTGTACCCAATGCCGTTTTCGGTTTTGCTAAATTCGGATCAACTAAAAACGTTTCCCACCCCTTCAGTCTCTCTTCCCTTTCTCTTGCAGTCTCTTCAACCTGTGTGCATACAAAGTGACAGCATTAACAGCAATGAAAGCATGGCTTGTTGCTTGCCAGTTTAATAACCAATGCTTTAAATGACCTCCCCAAAAGCTACTTTCATGATTTACCTTTACACTGCAGGAATACTAAGAAACTCCCCTCTATTCTACATCAACTGCAGTAAATACTTAAATGTTTACTATAACTGGTATAAAAGGGCGGGTTCGTGTTTTAAGCTGGTAGCAGCCCAGTTTGTAGTTCATGAACTTTGTTTCATACCATCAAGCCCTCATGAGCCCCCACAAACCAACCAGGGGGTTCGTGTAAGCAGGCACACTGGTGCTGGTGGTGAGGCTTGAAGAAGGCATTTGAAGAGACCGTGGTCTCTTTCAATGCCTTCTCTGAGCTGCTTGCAAAAACCATTTAAAGGGATACCATTTAAACCATTTAAAGGTATCCCTTACAATTGTTTTTGCAAGCTGTGCTGCTGCTGTGTGACTCACAACTGAACTGAGAAGGTATTTAAATGCCTTCCCAGTTGGAAGCGATTTCAGTGACCCCTTTCCCTCTCCCCCACTTCCAAGCCTAACAAGCTGAAATGGAGACAAGCCGTTTCAGCGATCCCTCTCACTCTCCCCCACTTGGAAGCAGGGAGTGGGGAGCAAAAGGATTTGCTGAAATGGCTTTTGCAAGATCTCCCCTCCCCCATTCTGCTGGCCTCGGGGAGCCGCCACCAGCAGAAAGGAGGGAGGGAAGATCCATGAACCTCATGAACTGAACCAGTTTGTGAAGTGGGGGAGGTTCGTGGGACCTCATGAACCACAAACTGGGACAAACCTCCATTTTCCTGGTTTATGCCCATCCCTAGTAGCAGTTGCTAGAATTTTAGGATATTTGCTTAAAACTGAAGGTATCAAAATTCTTCATAAACAAAAAAACTTAAATATTTAATACACACAAGTACTACCTAAAATGGTCTTCATGCAAGATGAGATTTATTTTATTTTAAATACTGTATTCCACTTTATTGACCAACTCAAGGCAGCTACTAATCTAGGTGAAAACACAGTCAGGTAAAAGCTATCACAATTCAAAACAGCGTCAGACCAGCAAACAAAATAAGAGTCCCGTGGCACCTTAGGAACTTACACAATTTACTTCAGCAATCAGCTTTTGCTCACTTTATCAGACTCCGACTCATGAACACTTCTGCTGGGCTAAACTTTGTTAATCTCTAATATGTCACTGGACTCCTACTTTATTTTGCTGTTATACAGTTTTCAAACGGAATGATCAGATCAGAAAAAAAATTAATCTCTCAACAGCATATTATTCCCCGAAAAAATTTAAAACGTGCTTGACTTTTTCTTTTTCTTAAAAAGGGTTGCTGCAGGCGGTGTCTAGGGAGGCTCTCCACAGGCTGCCGCCACTCTGGTATGGGCCTCCTTGGGAGGGCCCAGAGCACCCATTCGACCCCTTACCCGTTCTTCCCCAGTAGAGTGTACTTTACATGCGACCGAATGATGCGTGAGGACCCAGACAGAATAATAAACAATTTTATTATAGAGGTCTAGTAACTGGTTTCCACATAATTTGTAGAATAATGAGAACAGTAAAGGCAGGTAAGCAAACAAATAATAGAACCCTAACGCATCTATCTAGACTGCCCCTAGGTGATTGGCTTCAAGCTAACTCACCCCCTTCCTGGATGAAGGATCCCTCCATCTGTGAGAGCCCCTCCTCAGCTCTGCTCCTTAGGAATGAACGACCTATCCCTTTGGGCGAGGCCTTTCATCCCTTCTTCCTAGGCACTGCCCCCCTAGTCCTCTACTGGTGCAAGTTTTCCCTCCTAATCCATTGTTAACCATTCACAGGGTCCAAAGGGTGCCTGGGAAATGTAAGCCTGGTAGCTACTTTAGTAGGCCTTCCTAGAGCCTATAGGCCTAGGAACGCGACAAGGGTCAATGGAATGCTCTACTCATCTATTCAGGTATCTCGCCGAAAAGCAGCAGGGCTGCCACAGAAAAGGCCCTGCTCCTTTTCACTGCAGAGAAAGGCATACATGAATCTAGTTTTCATTACTACAAAGCAAAACTTCAAAGTATGATAGTAATGGATCCTTTGGAAACACGTGATAAAAGAGTGCCAGTTAAGGTGTCACTGAAACACTTTGCAAGTCTCTCGTATGATTTTCAACACTTGGGAACCACAGTTTTTGTTTCAAGCCATCTGGTTACAAAGAATGCAGCACTATATATAAAATTCCTAAAACTAAACTCCATTTCATTCACTGCATATATTCGCCGCTTTCAAAAATCTTGTAAACATCGGAGTCAGACTTACCTGGTAATCTGTTACACCATCCCATGTTTCAACACACAGCTGACGTCCACCAAACCATCGCCCATGGAGTGCCTGTTTACACACATCAGCTTCTTCCATCTCTTTAAAGGACACAGAAGCAACGCCATCTGGGTGCCTCTATAAAAATGAAAGAAACCAGATACTGTCAAATCCATAACAGGCTCTCTAACTACATAAAGAATTGATTTCCTGATGAGCAAACAGAAGCCTACAAAGATACGCATGAGCCATCCAAAGCCACAACAACAATGCTTCACATTAATCCGTATCTCTAAATTCTTTTTAAATATGTTTATATAGACAGCAGTATCCTATACCTACATCAAATATTATGACTTTCTTTACTTGTCCAAATTTTTCACATTCCGTCCGAAGGTCTTCTCTAATTTCATTCAGAACTAATGGGTCCTCCTGCAAAGACAGATACGCATGTGCAAGAAGATGCTTTAAAAGAATTTTATCAACACTGATTCAGGAACCAGAATTTCAATGTGCTGGTCATAACAACCTGAGAGCAACTAGAAACAGTAAACACTCTCGGCTAAATTACATGCCAGGGATAAATCAAAAGCCGTTGAACCCGTACTGAGATTGGAAAAAGAGAAACATGGAGCTCAGCCTTTGAAGGCAGGGACTGCTTATTCATAATCCAATACAAAAATGCAGCATTTTCACCAGTTTCCCACTAGCAAGATTTTACTTGGACCTTATTACCTATTTTACAACTCGGTGACAGAGGGTGAACATTCCTACCTCAAAATCTGTTGGATGAAACATGTTTCTGATAATGATAACACGCTCGTGCCTCAGTCTAACATCACCCGGTTTCTTCTCTGGCCTCCAATCCAGCTGTCTAATAAAATAAGACAATAGTAAGAGATTGTGGCAGGTAATGATTCAATCTTTCTTTAAAATATGGTGCCAGCACTGACAGTCATTTCCCCAACAAAGCTAGACTCCCAACAGCCTGAATATGGAAAGTGAGGAGGAGCAATGACTCAGTGGTAGAATATATCCTTTGTAAACAGAAGGTCCTGTGTTCGATTCCTGGCATCTATCAGCTAAAGGATCTCAGATAACAGCTGTTGGGAAAGGTCTTTCTCCGACTGAGACCTTGGCGAAAGTACTGGACTAGGATCTGTGGGAGCCAGGTTCAAACCCCCACTGTCTCATGATGCTTTATGGATGATCTTGGGTCAGTCACTCTCTCTGGCTGCCTAACCTACCTCACAGGGTTGCTGAAGGTAAAGCGAAGGAGGAGAGACTGCCATACACTGCCCTGAGCTCCTTGCACAAGGGGTGGGATAAAAATGTAAATGTATAAAATAAATCAACTGCTGCCAGTCAGAGTAGATAATACTAAGCTAGATGGATCAATGGGTTCAACTTAGTACATGACAGCTGTACACGTTATTTATAAATCTATACAGATTGTCTCTTATACTTAAAATTTGAAACCAGGTAAAATTTGCATTGCATTTTCAGGTCAAGGCAAGAAATACAGCGAGATCAAAAAATACCAGCCACTTGCACACAGATCTGATAGTATGTCTAAACTTCAGAATAGTATTGAATGCACTAACAAAAAGATATGCGAAACAGCAAAATATCAAGTATACTGGATAGTTCAGAACAATTTTTCACTTTCTTTCACAAGGAATGTCTTTTTAGACTTCAAGTTCTTTGAGCTGTATATTTATATACACAGCCACAAACAGCTAACATTATTTACAGACACAGTCACCCACTTTTGTTGTTGAGACAGCTTCTTCTTATAGTCTTTGCATTTCTTCTTCTTTTTGCTGGCATCGTACTCCCCCTTGATCTGAAACTGTGCAACTTCCACATGCAATTTGTAGCCTCTAATCTCATTTTCATCCAGAAGTTTCAGTGCAAGTTCAACAGACTCTCTCTATTAAAGGAAAGAAGGAAACTTCAGAGGTCAGGATTTTATTTTTCATCTAAATCAAATGAAGCTTACATCATTTCCCCACTGAAGACCAACTTGTAAAAAGGTATCATTTTTAAACAAATGCCAGCAGGATAGCCATCTGAATTTGATGCAGCACAAACAAAACAAGATGTTTTTGAAGATTACAACTCACTTCTTTAAATACATGTAGCATTATTCTCACTTAGCAAATATGCATATACACACACGATAGTAAAAATAAAAACAGAAAGGGAAGGAGAGATGGACCCTATTACCAAATGCGGTCAGAAGGTCAAATAATCAGAGAGATTACATTACTATGCAAGCAAAATCCAATCAAAGAATGAATTATCCCATCAGACTGCATAGGAAGTACTCCCAATGGCGATCAATTCACAAAGCAAGGTGAATAATGTACATAATAATTATTATTTATTTACCTTCTATCCCACCTTACACCACGAATGGGCTAAGGGCAGCCCACAACATAATAAAAACAATATATAAAAACAGTTAAACGATTAAAACAAGATGGCATTAAACACAAGTAATCCAACGTCTCCTGTGATAGTTTAACAGGCAATGGTAGATGGTGGGAGGTACCTAAATATAGTGCCCCATAGATGATAAACAGCATCCAAGAGGCACTGGGCAGGTACCAAAAGGCAGGGAAGGCCAAGATGGTTTAGTGTCTGCCGCATCACCGAAAGGCATGGTGGAACAGGTCCATCCTCCAGACCCTGCAGAACTGTAATAGCTCTCGCCCTGATCTCAAGTGGGAGCATGTGTCATGATCTGGGCGGCACTACTAGGCCCAGGGAGCCTGGCTAGCCGTAGGTGAGGCTGGGTCTACAACTCCCAGAAGCCCCTGAGAGGATTTGGAGCCAAAATTGACCAATAGGGAAGAAGAGGGCTGGGGAACAAAAGGGCTGGTGCCAGAGCAGAAGCTGTTCTTTCTTCCAGAGGGAAGAGCCAGAAGGAAGGCTGCTGCAGGAAGAAACCCTCATCCTGAGGGAAGGGTGAGTAGTCTAGTGTCACTTGGAATAGTGAGCTATGGACAGTCTATATTTAGACACGTTAGGGCATTTGATTTCTTTTCTTTTCACCCACTTACTGTTATTATTCTGCACATTGTTGTTTGACCTCCTATAAAATAAACCTTTTCCTTGTTTCACTCTGCCTGGTCCTCACGCCTGTTATTCGGCCAAAGGGGAGGTCTGAAGGTCTTGGGAGGGTGCTCTGGGCCTTCTCAAGGGAACCTAAATCCAGAGTGGTGGCAGCATCAGGTGACACCCCACCTGAGCCATGACAGCATGTTTTACCAAACCAGGGCCAGGGCCAAAAAAGCTCTGGCCCTGGTTGAGGCTAAGCAGACATCTCTTGGGCCAGGGATTACCAGGAGGTATTGATCTATGGAGTGCAAGGCTCTCCGAGGCACATATGGGAAGAGGCGGTCCATCAGATATGCTCGTCCCAGGCCGTGTAGGGCTTTAAAGGTCAGTACCATAACCTTGAATCGGATTCGGTATTGAATTGGCAGCCAGTGCAATCAGCGAAGCACCGGCTGGATGTGCACCCACATAGGTGTCGCCATCAGCAGGTACGCCACTGCGTTCTGCACTAGCTGCAGTTTCCAGATCAGGTTCACTGTAGCGAAGTCCTGAGAGGTGCGATAGGGAACCACCTGCCTGATCAGGCAGAGATGGTAAAAGGTCAATCTGGCAACCATGGTGGCCTTGGCCTCCACAGAAAGTGAGGGATCTAGAATCACCCCAAGACTGAAGCACTGGGAGCCAGATTCCCGATCCCACACCCCCACGGCTCAGGTACAGGACCTCTGTCTCCACTGGGTTTAATTTCAGCTGGCTCTGCTGTAGCCATCCAGCCACAGCGCCTCTAATGCCCTGTCCAGAGTATCTGGGGGTGGCATCCGACCAACCATCAACACATTTCACATATTTTAGTGAAAAATCTTTTTATAATCCCTCCCACAACTGTTTAGAATGACTCTGTTTTTCACATGTAAGAATGTTCTTTCAACCCAAATTCACAGTACTAACAGAGAAGTACTAAGCCACTTTTAACATTAAGCTCAGTAAGTTAAATCAATGGTGGAGGGAAAATACATGTGTCATAAAAAGCCACCTTAATATTCCAGTGTCTACTCAAACTAAAATAATTACTAAAGACAAAGGAAAATATTTATATCAACCAATACCTTAAGTATCACCATGAAATAACTCAAATATACAACTAACCTTTAGGTAACAACAGAGCCCATCTCCTTTAAGATTTCCCTCTTTGTCCTTGTAAAGCTTAATTTTAGGTTCATCTGTCTGAGGATCACGCATAACAATTCCACATTTTGACATAACCTGAACAAATTCATCTTGTGTAATGTCTGGCGGTAAACCTGTATAGTAAATTAAAGCAGATGCAAACAGCAATCAAGTAAAGCAGATGTAACCCATATTAACACTAGCTGTCTAACCATCTTTAATTTTCATAGAAAAATTGGATTCTAATTTGTCACACACATTCCTAATGTTTTTTATAGCTCTGGCACCTTCTGAATTTTGCGTGAATCTGTTTGCTTTGTGGCCCAGAGTAAAAGTGGAACCTGCCAAAATTCTAGTTCTTTAGTCATAGTAGGAGACAATCAATCACGGTCCTCTTGCGGTGGGAAGGTACAGTATGACAATTGTGGATAGCTCTCCATGCACTATAATTCCTGTCAACTGAAACTCATGCCCTGAACAGCAAAATCTTCAACCCCTGGCATGAGCCCCAACTCTGTGTTTTTGAGCATGCATACCAACCCTAATTCAGAAGCTGGTCACTGCAGGGAGTCATAAATGACAGCAGGCACCTGTTGGTTTTGTGATTCAGTGAGGCGAAAGAGACAGTAGACTTGACTCAGTTTGGCCTTTCTAGGGCTGCAGTCTGACAACTCTAACCCACAGCAAGAAAGCCTTACAAAATGAGCCAATGGGAAGCTAAGAGACTTGGGACTATAACAGTTCTGCTTCCACACAATCAGGATCAGGCAGGAAGGAGGCAGACATTCCACTGAGGAAAAAGGGCAGGCCACCAATTAAACCTTCCTCTTGTTCTAAATGGGGCTTCTTGTGCAATTTGCAAGTGGAAAAAAAATGGAGCAAAGAGCTAGCTTGAGAGAATTTTCTGGCTATTGCTGGTCCTACTTCTAAAGCTCAGCAATAATCACTGGTGTTCAGTTAGGACTTAGTTTCAGCCAACAGAAAGATAAAGTGGAGAAGGGTGGAAGGAGAGTGCACACACACACACACAAAACAAATGAAATTTCACTGTTGCACAAGATTATGCAATTGTGCTATATACTTTTAAATATTATGTTGTTTATGTCCTCGGCTACTATTAAATGTACTATTAAATGTACTATTGTACATTAAATATTATGTTGTTTATGTCCTCGGCTCTGGTTTTTTTCTTTCCCATCACGTTTTCCTGTATTTTTAATCTCAGTTCCAGATTTGATTAAAAGCGCAAAATTCAAACCATTTTTTTCTAATTGCTGAAAAGAACTGCATTAATGCAAGCGTTTTACATAACTAGAACCCAAAGAAAAGACATACAAAACATACTAAAATGCAAGCATATTACCAAATAACAAGCTATCAAAATGCCTGGCATTCCTACTCAAATACATTTGTCACATACATTCTCTAACACATACTGGTCAATTTGCAAATATTAACAAGCTGCTACGTACCCGTTACGTATACATTTGTATTTCTCTGTTCTTCAACGTGAAACCATCCTAAAGGAGAGATCATGAGTAAATTAGTTGCGTTCTAAACATAGAGAATAGCCATTCATTCCGAAATTCACATTTATCAAGCTTCAACTGAGTTCACATATCACGAATGTTGTCTAATTAGATTATTTTACATCGGACTTTCACAACCAGATAAAGTAATCATTGTTGAATGGTTACAAGAATAATCAGCATAAATGGACATTTGCCACTGTTACTGAAGCTGATAACGCCCAGCTCAGTAGAAATATACATTTCTTCTTGATCACGTGACTACTTCTAAGCCATGCACATTGGACCCTCTTGCCTGCTTCAGGTTTTCGTTTCTCTCCTTTCTGTTTAGGTTCTGTTTGTTGTGACCCTTTTTGCTCTACCAGCTGCTGGACTCCAGCCATCTTTGAATCCACCGGTGGTTTGATGTCAGTCTTTGCAACCGATGCAGTTGAATTATCTGAACTGTCAGTTGGAAAGCCATAGTTAGCATGATACGTCGCCAGGAAGTCTTCAGTCACCTAAAAGAGGATTCACAGAATATTAGTCTACAAGCAGACTCAGTATGAATTACTATTGCTAATGTTTGGGTAAGCCAAAGGTCTTCAATATTTCCAGACCCTGAACCCACTGAGGCACAAATACATAAATCACAATCATGCAGCACAAAGTGGGGGAGGCGGGTTATGAACCCACCAATGCTAAGAGACTAGGACTATGGCAGCAGGCAAAAGTCAGGGGCACAAAACACAAGCAGAGCACCAGGAAGGAGCTCCATACTGAAGAACAAGTCATGGGTCAGAGCAATGAAGGAATAATCTCCAACACCAAGTGATCACACTGCTCTGCTGCTCCTCTCATGTAAAGAGAGGCAGAATACTTGGCACACTTGCTCACTATGCACATGCACTAGCAGCAGGTCTTTCCAAAAGGCAAAGAAGTGGGTTTGCAGGGGCTCAGGAATCTATCTGAAGGTCTGAAGACCTCCAGCCTGAGTCCAAAACAACTCTGAAAATTATCAAATTCTTGTTCCCGCCTTTCATCAAAGAGCTCAAAGAAGCATACATCAATTACCCTACTTTACCCTCACAACATCCCTGAGAGGTAGGTTAGATAAAGAGAATAACCAGTCCAGTGGCACCCAGGGAGCTCTGTGATTGAATGGGGATTTGGACCCAGGTTTTTCCAGTATTAATTTGACTCATTAACAGCACCATGCTGTCTCTGAACGAATGACTCTCAAATTATGAAGAGCGGCATTACTAATATTCTAGGAGAATATTTTGCACGGCACTACGACTGATCGGCAAAGAAAGAATACTACAGCAAATTACGCCTACAAGATTTATAGACAAATTAAGCTTACAACAAAACATGAACACAAATTTTAAAAGGAAGATTCAGCCAGATCAGAGTCCTGTTGCTTGTCATTAACAGCAGGACAACAAACAATGCAGAAGGTGCTGTTTTAAATCCTTTCAGAGATATGAATCTCAGGTAATAGGTGTAGCAAAAGATCTTTTTCTGTCTAGATTCTGGAAAGCAACTGCCAGTCAGAGCTGATAGCACTGGACAAGATGGACCAATGGTCTGACTTGCTGGAAGGCAATTTCATGTATGGGAACTAATGTAACATCAAGACTAAGATCTCCAAGGGGCTCTATACAAATCTCACCGGCTGTGCCGTAAACTTTTCAGGTGGCAGCAGGCAAACCACCGGTCCTGCAAGCCCTCCATACACACACACACACACCAGCAACACAGGACTAAAGAAGTAACCTGCTTTACCTGCCACTGAGCTAGTTATATGAAACAATTTGAAGTGCCACAGAAATATTATTATAGGCCTGTAAATAACCACTGACCTAGTAACCTGTGGCAAGCGAAAACTGTCTCTAAGTGACTAGGCAAGGACACTGTTATGGACTGAAAGAGCTGATTTTTCCCTCTTTCAGAATATCAATGTGCCATGAAGTGTTTAATATAAACACAAGTGGGAAGACAATACTGAGCTAAAAAGGGAGAGGCCAAGGTTCAGTGGCAGAGTACCTGCTTTGCATGAAGATGGTTCTAGTGCTATCTCCAGCTCATGGGTATGAGGTTCCAGCATAAGAAAAGGCCTTCTATGTATAAGATACATTAATACATTCTTGAGCAAATTAAGCACATTGTTCCAGTTTAATCAGAAGGGCCACAGTTCACTGAATCCCTGCTATCTCCAGCTCATGGGTATGAAGTTCCAGCATAAGAAAAGGCAAATTAAGCACATTATTCCAGTTTAATCAGAAGGGCCACAGTTCAGAGCACATGCTTGGCATGCAGAAGCTCCCCAACTCCTTTGAACTGATTCCAAGGATCTCAGGCAGCAGAAGCCAGGAAGCTTTTTTAGCCTGACACCCTGGAAAGCTGCTCCTAGTTAAAGGCAACAAGTTTCACCACTAAAATACAAGAACCCGGAGACACACCAATGAGACTGGCTCCTAAATTTTTGAGCTAGCTACTAGAAAATTTGTCAAGGCTTGCACTAATCCTCATCCCCACTGAGGCAGGCACAACTGCTTTTTAATACAACTCAAGTGTCTCATTTATGTTGGGCAAAATCAAAGGAAAAACAAAAAACAACCCATGGCCTTCAACCCTCATGTCTGCAAGACCACCTCTCTTCCTACAGTCCTCCATGACAGCTCTGTTCATCCAAGCACGGCCTTCTGCAGGTGCCAACCTGCAAATGGACAAAACTACCTGTACACATGCCTTCTCCATTGTGGAAAGTGGAATGGCCGGCCTGAAGAAGTCAGGAAAGCTCCCACTCCCCTGGTTTTCTCCAAGCGATGCAAAACAGAATTATTCAAGAGGGCTTTTCTATGTAGGCAACAGGGTTGCGCTGTATAAAAGGCTTCACAAAGTTACTTGGATAAATTATTGGGGGCTGTGGTCTGTATTATTGAAGGTCAAAGAAGGGGACGGCAAAGGATGAGATGGTTAGACAATGTTATCGATGCAACGAAAGCACGATGGAAGACAGGAGGGTCCGGCGTGATGTGGTCCATGGGGTCGTGAAGAGTCTGACTCGACTGTGCGACTGAACAACAACAACAACAAAATATTACTGTGAATAGTTTGCTGCGGGTAGCCTCCCACTGTGTAATTCTGCATCATTTAATATGTCATGCTAATACTTATGCTTTGTTTCAGTTGTTTTTTAGATTTCTAGCTGGTTTTACAACTCAAACCCTATTTCATCATTTATTGACTGTCCCATCTTGTTGACTGTACTCTGTGTAATCCGTCTTGAGTCCCAGTGAGAAAGGCAGACTATAAATAATATAAGTAAATAAAATAAAACGATACATAAAGCAGCCACAAATTATTATACTACTTCTATACTTAATGTTATCAGACAAACAGAGCTCTTTAATATTTAGTGACAATATTAAGACCACCCATAAATCCACTCTGGATGGACCCGAGGGAGGAGCCCCTCCTCTTCCCCTCCCATCACATGACGTCAGACAGCTCTGGCCCCGCCCCCAACCCTCGCCCCTCCCTCACCTTAGGGAACCAGGCCCTCTTGTCGCGGTCCCACTCGTACTGGGTCCCGTCCGTCGGGTCCGTGTAAGTGAAGGGATCACTATCCCCTTCAGCATCCTTTTTGCCATAGAGTTCCTGGAGCCGCAACTGCTGATAGAACTCGTCGTTACCGTCCGAGCTCATGATGCCGTCCCTGCAACTCCCTGCAGCCCGGCTCCAAAGCAGTGCTTCAGCACCGCCGCCACTACCAGGCCGCTCCACTCCGCCCCTCCAAGATTACTCCAGTGCGCGTGCGCGTAACCACCTAGTACCGCGCCGGCGCGGCCTCAAATAATTCAGCCCGCCCCTTTTGTTTTTCTGAGGGAAACGGGATGCCCTCGTCGTTTCCTAACGGCTTTCAGACGTCACCGTTAAATCCAAATAAGTGCTGGAACCAAACGAGCGCCCCCCCCATAGTGAAAGAATGGTGTCAGCTGTTAACACAAATGAGAAGTATTTTGCGCATGCTTGGAAGGGTTTGAACGAAGAGACCCAATCTGCGCATGCTCAAAATCGATCTCCGTTTAAGGCTCGTCAGGTGGGTCTCTGATTCTAAACTGGCGGCTGCTTCGGCGTCGGTATCGTGTTCCAGTTCTTTCAAAATAAGGGCATCCGTATGAGTGGTCAATGATTTGGGAAGACGTTTTCTTCCTTTACTCCTCTCAACACACAAATTACGCAGGAGCGGAAGTCACTGAAGCCGGAACAGAAGACAAAAAAACGGGAACAAATAAGGACGATGATTGTACCACGTGCGGCTTCAAAACAGTGACAGCCAATAAACAACCAGCTAGGCGAGCCGATGAAAGTCCGCTCGCTTGCCCGCTTCTCCCGGTGAAGAGACTTAATGCTTAACAGGAGGAGCTTTTGTTTCCTTGCTTATTTCCCGCCTTATGTCTTTTTTTTTTACTTGTAAGGGGGTATTTTAGATTTTTTTAAATACAGAGTTATAGGAAGACTTCTCAGGGGGTTTAGTTCAAGTTATTCTCAAGGCTGTGCTCTTTAATTAAGAATAATAATAGTACACTAGTGGCTACTTTTAAAATCAAAGACTTTACGTTTCAGTGACTTTCAGTATTTGAGCTCCTAACCAATTATATAGGTTGTCTTTCTACCACTCAGGGTGCCAATTTCCAGGTAAGGCTTTGAGATCTACCAGAATTACATTTGATCTCCAGACTACAGAGATAAGAAAATGGCCACTCCAGATTTTGGAATACCTGTCAGCAAGCTGCCATATGTGTCTGATGTTCTTCTGTTTCCCCCCACCATGCCAAAGGTTTCTGTGTCCATGGTTTCTGTTTTCCTACCCATGCGCATTCCTTTCCCTGTGCTTAATTGCCGCTGTACTGCACCATGTATCTTTCAAGGCCGCTGGAGGAGTAGCAAGGGAGATTGCTTTGGCTTTGAGCCGTGGGAAGCTCATACCTGTTTTGGTTTGGGTGACAGTTGGTTCTCAAGCCTCCTGGCGCGTGCGGGAACCACCCTAATTGGGTACTGCTGCTTTGAATGTACTATAACCCTATATGTGCATTGCTGGTCTATTCCTAACAGTGTTCCTGTCCATGCATCTATGGCTTCAATAACAGTATAACCTTTCTATAAGTGTGTACTCCGTTGTTGCTGTGGGTCCTGACAATACCATAGGTTCCAGGTGAAATTTCTTCCCAAGCTCCGCAGGCACTACCTACCCCTAAAACTTAAGGAATCTCCCAGGCTGGAGTTGGCAACCCTATTATAATAGCAATAAATGAAAGTTATGTTTCATAACTTATTTAGATAATTGTGTCATTCAATAGGATTGTGAAATAGGTGGGACCTGTAGTCCCCCGGAATTTCATCTGATCTCTAGATGAAAGAAATCAGTTCCCCCGGAGAAAATGGCTGCTTTGGAGGGTGGACTCTATGGTGTTATGCCCAATTGAGGTCCCTGTCCTGCCCTTGCGCTTCATCTCGAAATCTCAAGGAATTTCCCAAGCCAGAGTTAGTGACTGTAATCCAGCAAACTCCATCGAATTTACTTCTTGAGGCAGCTTAGATGCATATATTTTTATTTTACCATTAAAATAGTTTTAATTTAAAAAACTAACAATTTATACTGTGGGAACAAGGAGGTGCGTGTTAACCAAAACATAAAAACAAAGTGCTTTTTTATAAATATATGAGTTTGAAATACTAATTGACAGATTAGTACCATTTTGAATGCCAAAAAGCCACTCCATTGTGTCCCAGACTTCACTAAGATCTGGTTGCCTGTTAATTTGTTTTATCTGCAAATTGCTATAACACATTTTGAGCCAATGTTTGCCTGAAAAGCAGGGTCAGAATGCAGTCATTAACATAATTTGCAAAAGCTAATGTTCACTTCTGAAGATGGAAGGACTGTATGCAGAGGTCAATTCGGGGGGGATCGCAGTTCCCCCGGGTGAGGTGCGGGGGGGCACACGATGAAGCCCCACCCCCTGCTTCCGGCCGCCCCACTTCCGGCCCTCATTCAGCCAGGAGGAGGCAGTAGAAGAGGGAGGGTAAGTTGCTTCCTCCCCGCCTCTCCCCACCCCTGTCTGCCTGGGGCCAGGGAGGGCCTTGGCGGGGCTTCCTCGCACTCCTGCCAGCCTTGCAGGTCCACCGCCGGGCCCCTGATGTCAGGTGGTGTGGCATATGCTAATAAGTTATGCTAATGAGTTCCCCTAGCTCTTTTTCTACGAAACGACCCCTCACTGTATGTAATATCTTTATAAATTCCTTGTTATCATAACATTGAGATGCACCAGTAGCTGCAGATAAAAGTATTCACTAGTTACAGTTATTTCCTGTTGATTAATATGTTAAAATTTTAGTTGATTAATCTATTGATTAAACCAATTATACTTAAAGCCTTAGTGTATACAGATTGGATTTGGCTGGGGTTGCCTTCCCCACTTGGGTTACCAACTCCAAATTGGGCAGTTCCTGGAGATTTGGGGTGGAGCCTGAGTAGGGGAGTTACGGAGTAGGGAGGCCTCAGGTATAATGCCATAGAATCCACCTTTCACAGCAGCCATCAATCTCTGTAGCCTGGAGATCAGTTAGAATTCCAGAATTTACCTGGAGGTTGGCAACTGTATCCTTCAACTTCAAGGGATAGTAGTATTGCAGATGTGTGAACACTAAAGTAATAGTATAACCTGTGAGTGAGGTGTATTTTTTTGGCCCATAGTAATATAACATCCTGTGGATGCCCACATGTACTGCTGTAGCACCTGTGCACAATCCCAGATTCACACTCTAGAAACAGTTGTGGTGTTGCCAAGCATTCTAGGCATTCCTAGCTGGCACTGCTCTTTTCTCTTAAGAAAGATACAACAATGCTTATTATAATTCTAACACAAAAAGTAGAACATGGTTTAAATACCACCGTGTCTGGTAGCATGTTCTGCTGGTGGTAGTTTCTAGAAATGTTGGGTTTAATTCATGTTTTATGGTTTCTGAAATTTTTAATTTATTGCCTTATAATTTTGGCAATAATGTATCTCCAAGCAATACTTCCCCAACTACAGCACTATCTAATCAGATGTTTTCAGCTCTTTGCAGTAGTTGAAATAATGCATTTAGTCTCCTTTATCAGCATTGTCTTTTTTTTCTTCCAAGCTTATGTCTGTGAGCTGGTTGAGGTTCCATCTTGATTTAGCTGAAGATGAATGACCCTATGTATCATCTTCCAGCTTCCTAGACAGGAATAATAACAGAGCTGAAACAAAAAGTTCTTTATAATGGCAACTGCTGGAGGTTGTCAGAAACTTCTCCTTCTCCAGAGAGTGTTGTTCCATTTTGTTCTTTTTATACACCATAGAGGTAATCAGTCTGTGGAGTCTTGTGAGCAAAACTTATACTTCATGAGCTACTAGCATTAAAGCTGTGACCGAGCCTACATTTGACTATCGTGTAAACCTAAGCCTACCTCACAAGGTTGTGAAGATAAGACAGAGGATGAGAAAACAATGGACAGCACTTGAGGGAATGGGCAGGATTAAAATGTACTAAATATCCAATTTAAAAATGTGTGGGAATCTAGTTCCAATCTGGTTTCACCAGATATATGTGCACAGGTGTTTAAAAATTAATATACACATGTATGACCTATTTGTCTGCTGCAGCAACCTCAGATATAACATTGGGCTAACAACTGTAGTGCGTGGAGTTGTCCTTACTGCAGACAGCCAGTGGTTAGAGTGTTACACAAGGATCTGGGAGAGTTACACTGTTATGCCAGCTTGCTGATGAGTAATTTAATCATATATACAATATGCCATTAAATGCAGTTTATTTACACTACAGTCTTGTCTCACTCATTCACACAATGAGGTTGTGTGGGGTTTGTGATCACTATTTCTGTTTTGCAGATTGGTTCGAAGTTGTACAGTATTAATTGTTATTACTCATAGACAGTGAACAGGGAGTATGAGAACAACAAAGAATCTAGTGGCACCTATTTGTGGCATCCGCTTTTGCAGACCTGAGAGTATGGCTGCAAACCAGAGGTGCTTACGTGCACGCCTGGGGGATCCCGTTGCCAGGAAGAGGAAGGCTGAGATATAGTCCTAGGGTGATATAATTTTACTCACAGGATTGCATCATGACCCATAACTTATCTAAGACCTTGGAATTAGTCTTTTTGTTCCGTGTGGGGTCACCCCAGGCCATGAGGTTTCTTTGTTTCCCCATTTCTTTGGGTTACTAAATATTTAAAAAGTCAGTATTCAACAGGCGGGGGAGAGGGAGAAAGAGAGAGCCAAACCCCAGGCCCTACTCACCTGCAAACATATAAGCACATGTACTGCCCCCCTCTGCGGGAAGGAAGAGCACCCTGGAAACTTGGCGGGGGAGGGAGAGGCTTCCATGGCTCCAGCCACCCTGTGCAAAAAGCCGAGGAAAGTGCAGGCCTTCTTGGGGCTTGAGGAGACAGCATCCCTGCCCTGTCCTCCCCTTCCCAGGCATCAGCTGCAGCCTCCCCTTCCTCCATCTCTGTTCATTAGACCTTTGAGGGCTGGGGGGGGGAGAGACTCACACATACATAGCTGCACACTCACCTCAGTCGTCCAGCCTGGACCCCCAGCTGGATGTACTGCATCTCCAAGCTGGCAAGCTGCACTTGAGCCCTGCTAGCTTTGGGGTAGCTCCTGATTTTTTAAAAAAAGCTTTGACACCCAGCTCGCTTTTTACATCATAGGATGCGCATCAGAGGAGTTTTGCTCTGGAGGATTTAGGGCACAATCGTAAATGTGCTGAACTGGAAATAAGCACCCTTGAGGTTAGTGGTGCTTACTTCTAAGTAGACATGTCTAGAGGATGCAGCATCGACAACCCCAAATTCTCTTCCCCTTGCACTTTTTATTCTTTTGCCTTGGGAATGGAGGC